TTCACCTCGAACTGCAGACGGACATCATCCGGTAGCAAGGCTTGTGTGTGCCCGAGGATCTGTGTTTCACGGGAAGCGCCTTCACAATCGTAGAGAAAGCCTGCCAATCTCGACCAACCGAGTTCAGTTGGCTCGCGCAGCTTAGCCATGGCGTAATACGTCATTGCCAGCTGGCTGAGGGAGTTCCTCCGCTGCAGCCTTACCTCCTGCCATTCATCATACCCCCTCAGTGATTCGCAGTACGAGTGCAGGCGTTTGAGCTTGTCTGCGGGGAGTAACTCCGCCGCTAGCAGAAATAACTGTGCCTTAATCCGCACCATCCTCGTCTCGACCAAGGTCTTCATCTGCGTGAGGTACGAGCCGGGGAGTGACTCGCTACCGGCTGGAACCTCTGTCTCGTGATATAGCACTGCCAAAACTGGGAGAAGCACCTCCACAAGACGAGTAGGCTGAAGACGATAGGCCATGTTTGCGAGGTGTAGGGAGAGTTGCTGAGATCTCTTGAGATGCACAGGCTGCAAATACATTGCTGGAGAAACAGGCTCAACTCGACAAGCATGGAAACTTTGAGAGGCAGGCTGGCCTGACGGGAGCAACTCCACGTATTCAAACCTGTAGCAGAAGATGTGAACAGGCCATTGCAGAGTGGAGGCCGAGCTGGCAACTTCGATGCGGGAGTTTCTCCGCGCCAGGCCTCGGGCAAGACTGAAGAGAACACTACTATCTGCAAACATCCATCATGCTCCCAAAAAGTGCTTATTCCCGAGCGCACAGAATTCCCCCTGTTCACCTTCTGCTGAGGCGAGCAGGAAGTGACGCATCTTCATGCTTGCCTTTAGCGTAGCATGTTGCGAATCTGTTTGACTAGCGGAGATGGTTGTGCTCCCTGTTTCTGGAAGTCACCATTGAGGAGTGAAAAGGCTGAATTGTTGGCTAGAGTCCCTAAGGTGTCTAGCAACTCTGAGGCTCCGACCTTGCAGGAAAACTGAAAGAGCAGGCGCACCGGGCCTCCTGTCATCTTGTCACTAAGGGGGCGCGACGTCTTAAACATGGTCACCTGAGTCGAGTCGGCTTCCAGGCGTGAGATGGCATCACCCAGTCCCGAGAGTAGTTGCGACGTGCTCAAGGGGTCTTCCAAGGATCCGACCGGGGATTGACTGCCAGAGCTCCATTCGAGATAAGGCCAGTCCCCTTGCATTGTCATCACGCCCTCCTGCTTGAGTTTCTGCTGCACTGCCTCAGACTGGCTGACCTTCACGACTCTGTCCTTGAGAGCCCTGAAGAATCGAAGCGTGAGCGCATGTCTCGGAGGAGATGTCGGGGCCATCAGGCTCCTTTGACGTTTGCTCTCTTCATGAAGCTCTTGCAGTACTGAGTGAGCATCTGTTCGGACATAGGATATGTAGCAGAGGTCAGATGTCAATGCCAGGAGCTGTTCGTCATGCCGCAAGACGAGCCTTGCCACGGCGTTCACTAGGTCATCGTCAATTGCTTCTGACGACTTTCCTTCGCCTCGTCGCTGACCAGTTTGCTTGCCCTTTCCTTGTCCCTTATAAGAGGGAGCGGCTCCACTCTTCGTGCGTTTCTGGGGAGATTCTCCACCAGATTGACTCGGAATTTCGCCGCGTTTGGAAGAAATGTCGGACATAGGCGCACTTCTAAAGAAATCCTCCAACGACATGTCTGCAGCGCCTATCCTCTGCCCACTCAGATGTCTGGAGAGAAGCAGCTAAGGGCGTTGCGTCTGGGATTGCAGAGTGCATGACACAGCCTTGTCATGCCCGCCTGAACGCAGATTAAGCTGATTGAGAGTGTCAGGCCTGCTGCCGCTCGAGCAGCAAGAGATAGATATTGCCTGTGACCATCGAGGCATTGAGTTGGCAGGCTGTCGGGGGGCGAGAATCATCTGCTAGATACCATTGCTCTTCAGCTCGGATGAGACTACGGTAGTGCCCTGAGGTGGGCTCTTCCCCAAGGTGAATCACCCCAGCTCGAAACCTGAAGGGATGCCAGGTCAGGACCGACCCCTCTCCTTCGAAGGCAGGGAGTGAAAGCATCTCTTGAAGTCTTATGGAGCTACTGTTTTTGCCATCTCCGGCGTACCTCGGCAAGGCTAGGAAGACAAACTTTTCCGCGGCTACCAGGGCTCGAACCGGCGTCTGATTGCTCCAACTGTTTATCATAGTCTGCAGGTTCTCGGCTAGCGGCACGTTCAGAAAGATTGGACTAAGCCCTTCCTCGTCCACCACATAACCTGCCTCCATGGGACACCGCGTCTCCCAGCAGCAGACCTGTATTCCTGAGAGATTCGGAAGTATCGCACTGAGAAACTCCGCTGCGTCCTGCTGGTTTCCATCGAATGTCCAGCCTCTAGTGATTGGATCCAGGACATGGTGTTCGGGTGTAATTCGCGCTAGCTGGCTAGTTCTGTACGCTTCCTGGAATGTTGGCAAGCTTGTCGACGGCACTACCCAATGCAGAATTTGCAGAACTGAGTTTGCGTAGCAGTGGTTGCGCCGGTTAGCCAGTAGCCAAAAGCCCTCCAGGATGAAGTTCGGGGCTGGTAAGCCAACGAGCTGGGTTCGGGGGGGTCGGGATGGAGTCGTCTGTGGCCTAGGCTTGGCTTCATACGCTCTCGGGGCCAAATCCAGTCCTTGTTTTTGAGCTTCCTGAAGTACATGTGTTTGTAAGAGAGGGACACACTGCTCAGAGTGCCTGCCTGGCGCATCGACCTTGGTTCTACAGTAGCGGCATGGGTGTCCCTTCTTCATCATGACTTTATGAAGCTGAAGCCGTGGAGTAATGATCGACTGGACGCTGGTCATGACCTCAGGGTGCTGACGATTCAGGTGCTGCTTGACTGCCTTGTTGCCAGCTAAGGCCTGCCCACAGAGCGCACAGCTTTCCATTAGCCAGATTTGCAGGTCTGGGTTCATGGCGGCCTGACCCGGGTCCCGAAGAGCTTCTGCTTTTACTTGCTCGTGGACTTGTTCTAGTTCCGTTACGTTTGCCTCGACCTCTGCCTGGTTTTGAAGCAGTATGCTCACACGTGGGCAAGTAGAAGTCTCTACATGATGTCGCAAAAAGAAGTAAGAGCGGAACAAGCGTCCACAGGCTAGGCACTCAGGCGTACCTGCCTTGGCGTGCTTTTTGGGGTTGAAGCGTGGACCTTTAGGGAATAGGCGGGCTCCAGGGTGATGTTTTTGCGAGTGTCGCCTAAGTGCCCCCGTGCCTGCAAACAGAGAACCGCATTCAGTACACACCTGTTGCTGCCGCTGATCAGTGCTGCTCGCTCTGGCCGCTGCCGTAAGGCATGAGAGGCTGTCACAAAGAGTCTCAGCTCTGGGCAGGTAGTGCTGAAGAAGAGCATCTTTGTCGCCATTGTGTTGGCGTTTGATGAACTGTTTCAATCGCTTCAATACCTGAACCTTAGCCGTCTTGAGGCCTTTACGTTGCATGAACTGCGTATTGTTCTCGTGCGTGTCCTGGGAGTAGCTCCTCAGGACAAAGCGCAGCTGGAAGATCATGTGTGATTCAAGCTGGGCTAGGCCTTGTGGTGTCAAGCCCACCACGTGAAGGCCGTACATGGCTGACGCCCAGGCTGTAATGCGCCAGATTGACAGTCTACGCTTTTCGGTGATGGCTCGGCTATTCCGGACTGCGTGCGCTACTTCCTTGAGGGCGGCCTTGCTCGCTTGCAAACGATGACGAAGAGACTTCATCTCGTAATCCTGGTAGGAGATGATGATTCCCAGATAGGGAACCTGGTTTTTGAACGCAATCAGCCTGCCTGAAGGAAGCTGGGCGTACTTGACTCCCTGCTTGGTTGTTAAAAGGCTTTGCCTGATCTGTTGGGCTGATCCCCCGTGCATCTGAAGAAGCAGCGCAGATTTTTCTGGATTAACTTTGAATCCAAGTTCCGTGAGTTGATCCAGAAGCAAATCACACAAAAAGAGCGATTCCTGCAGCTGCTGTTTGTCATCAAAGTGCATTTGAAGTAGCGTGTCATCCGCATACATTGTGAGGATCCTCTGCAACGTGGCTATGTCACACTGCTCTCCTAGTCTGCGAAATAGTAGGAAAGTGGCAAATGCAAATAGTGATGGGGCTAGTTTGCATCCTTGCTTGATGCCTCGTCTAGTGGCAATACTGAATGCCTGATCACTGGCAGTCATGTCGTATAGGGCTTGAATGTGAAGTTTCCCTACCAGGTCGATGAGGAAGGGGTCCGCTTCTGCTAGCTCCAGTGATTCTCGTAGTCTTCTTCGGTCTACCATGTCAAACGCCTTGCTCATGTCTACACTGAATGCGAGGCTTCCTTGTAATTTGAGACCTCTGTGACCGCGCCCTGCCTGTCGCTGTGTGTGACTCGCTCGTCTTCTGGCCTCGTCTACGTGTGTCAGCGCCTTACATATTGCTTCTTCCGTCCCCCGGCCTGGTACAAATCCGAATTGGGTCACCTCAGACATTACAGCTCGAAGCGTGGGCTTGAGTTGTTTCCGCAGGTGACCAGCCAACACCTTGCCTTCAGGTGCTATGACACCGGTAGGTCTCAAGGAAGCCGGCTTGTCCGGCTTCTTGGGGGGTTTCGGAAGCCAGGATATACTTTGGGATCCAGGCTGATTGCTTGGGCCTCTGTGTTCAGGAGGGTGGGGACAGTCACGAGGGACTGCCTTGCCCAATTTGATAGAGCGGAGCTGATCCATGACATCTGACGAGGTTATGCCTAGAGACCCTGCTACGCCCTGCAGCTGAAAGTCGTCTCCTGTCCCGAACAGTAACAGATCCTTGGAATATTCTTCCAGGACTCTTCGCTCTTCCTTTGCTGTAAGGAATCGGCCCTGTTCATCCCGGAGTTGCACTCTTTCATGTGGCTTACCTGTCTTAAAGGAACGGATGACTTTATAAAGGGAATGACTCCCGTCCTTAGAGCTCTTAGCCTCAGCCTGGGCAAGCTGTTCGTCTATAAGTTTTTGACGCTGTTCAAACTTGCGCCGTTTGGCGTTCCGAGCTGCTGCGCTCTGCTGCGCGATGGCGGCCCAGGTTCGCCACACAATGCGTTGTTTGAGCTGACTGTGAAGATCTGCTATTGCGATAAGAACTTCGGGGAGCTCGCGCAAGGTCCTGCGGTATTCCCAGAGTCCCGAGCTGAAACGGCGATGTTCTGCTCTCTTCTTGGGGAACTCCAGCTGCATCACTTTTTCCATGGTCTGTCGTAGGAGTTCCCAAGAGGGCTCAGCCCCTTCTAGATCCGTATCGACCATGCGTGCGTAGTTAGTTACGCTGTCAGGATCCATCCGATAGCAATCCTCCATATGTGCTTGATCATAGGCTTTTACAGGTAGCGCGGAGTATCTCCTGCTATGTACCAGCCCTCCCAGGAGAGGAAAGTGACGGCTGCCTTCACGCCAGCTGGCGATAGGAAACTGACGGCAGGGAGAGCAACTCTTCCCAGGTCCGCGAGCTTGACTTTGTCTGAGCAATGCAAAATCGATTTGGCTTACTGAATTTCCCTGCACGTGAGTTGCAGGCTTGCGGACTGACCATGTGTTGGCGGCTACCAGTTTGTGTTTTTCTAGTAGACCCAGAAGATCCTTAGTTCCTCGCTGCCCTAGCCGACTGAGCCCAATTGTACAGGGACCTACGTGTCTCTTATCCGGCTTCAGGGAGGTGTTAAAATCGCCCGCTATCAACAGGGAATTGCGTTGAGGCAGCGTGGCGATAGTCTGTGAAAGTTTCGACAGAGCGTCTTTTCTCTGCTCCTGATTTTGTGTGAGGGTCTGCTTCGACCTCCAGACAAATTGATAGAAAGAAATGACGTCCAACGAAAAACTCTCTCCAGGCACGCGCACGTGCAGCAGCCGTCCAGGCAGGATCTCATTGAAGCGGATATCCTTTGCCTGACACAGACTGCCATGAACCATAATTAGTACGCCAGCACCCTGTTCCTTGTGCGTGCCAGAGCTGACCACATGCCAGCCTGATTTACTGAACTGCCAACTGCCTCTCCAGTG